TGGGCTCAAAGTGCCGGCGCTGCAAGAGTTCATGTCCCAACAAGAAGATTTTTGCTGCAGTTGTGAGCACTCGGCTTCCCCTGCGGACACCCCCACCGCAGTCACCCAGCAGGAGCAGCAACAAAAGGCACGGTTTTTCAAAGGAATAAAGTCCTTTGAGCAGGGGAAATCCCTGCTCTCAAATAGCTGTAACTGATGATAACACAAAGGATTTGGGCACTTACACTCAGTAACAAACTGTCCTGCTCCAAATCACTGACCGGCACACGGACGCTGTGGGCTGCTGAAGCTGGGATGTCTCACAGAGCGTGTCCAACACTGCGCTGGGGAGAGAAGAGAGCATGGGGTTTATTGGGATCTGTGCTGGACCCAGACAGGATACCAGGCAGCCCCCGCCTCCGCTGAGGTATGTTTAAGCCACTCAGTTTAGGTGTTGTCCAAAAACTGGGAAGGAGGACCACAGCTTCCCCACCTGCTCCCCAGGGAGAGACAGAGGCCTTGGGAAGGCACTTGCTGCTGACAGCATAATGTCACCAATTGCTGCCAACACAGCATTCAAAATCACGTTAGGTCCAAAGGAATCTGAGGCTGGCACAAAAGTCATGAATAAAAAAAGAAAAAAAATAGTTCAAGTAATTAATTTGCTCTAACGTCTCCTTTAGCAGTCACCAAGACTCTTGCCTAGTCCCAGACAACTAGTGCGGGTCTGCATTTCTTTCGACAGTGCCCAAAGCACGCTCTCCTGCGAGACCCTCTGCAAGGGCTGTGCTGCCTGGTCCTGCTCCTGAGGCACTGCTGGAATTACAGGAGCCAGCGGGAAGGGGCAGAGCCGGTGCTGTGAGCCGCAACATCCTGCTCCCAGAAAGTGGAGGACAGGGGCAGCATCCCCTTCTTTTATTTCTCCAGCCAGACCAGAAATAACGCAAGTCCCCAGAGTGCAGGTGAAGCAGCTGCCTGCTGGGAAACGCTGCTGGACCATGGGAGCGGGAGTAACGCCTGTCCCCAAAACAGCTCTGAGCAAGGCAGACCCTCCCTCGCCCTCCCTGCTTTCATGCAGCTCATCCGTCGGCCATCTCCGGCACAGCGGGGCTGACCCCAAGGGGCTGGCGGCTGCTCCGTGCCCCCTCCCCAGGACAGGGGCGTGCGGAGGGAGGGCCAGGGAAAGGACTCGGTTTCCCTGCGTGTGGCCTTAAAACGATGAAGGAACCTGCACGCTGAGCTCCGGAGCAGGAGCGAAGGGGGAGGGGAAAGGGCTTAGTTTTGGAGCCGGGGTCGGAGAAGGGAGAGCTGCTGCGCCTGGCAGGTCTTGGTGCTTGGGACGATGGCTGGCTGGGAAGGCTTCTCGCAGTGCCGCGGAGAGGCCTGTGCCGGCACGGCCGCGGCGCAGGGCTGCTGGGAGGCAGGGCGGG